GTAATATATATATATATATATATATAATTTTTCACGTATATTTTATGTCATAATAATGGAAATATTGATAATTTTTATTTATAATAAAATTTTGGGTGTATAAATGTAAAAAAGTAAAGTTTATGTGTGAGATATACAAATAAATAAAAAGTTGGGTGGTATGTAAATAAATGCCCCCCAAAAAATTTATTTCTATAATTGCACTGAAGTTAGGTGGTGACTTGCCCTAAAAATGTATGCCATACTTACTAAATTATACTATTTTTAATTATTTATATTCATCATAAATGCTCGTAAATAAATTACATATTTGCATTTCATAACTCATCGAACAATTCCTTATATTACTAATCTCTTTTTTTTTTTCTAGAATTATCTAAATATTCCATTTTTTTTATTACCATTATTTAATTCTCTTATTTATATAAACAAGTTAACTCTTTTTAGTTAAATTTATATATAAATGAATTTCAATAATATGCATCTAGTTATGCTTAAGAAAATTTACATATTTACCCCAATAGTTGTATAGATTCACATATATAACACTTAGGCTTTAGTTTAAAATTTTATGAATGAAAGTGTGTGTTTTTTTTTCATTGTTTAGAAGGAAAATAAAAATAGCATTGAAGGTTATGGATGTAAGTTTTGTGGAAGAATTGTGTGATATGTAAATAGGGCATAAGCATTCTAATGATTTATGTAAGAAATCATAGATTACATGTAATTAATTAAAAAAAAAACATTTAGTTAAATGCCACTAAATTCTTATATTTTTGTGTAAATTTAACAATGTGGTATTTTTTATGTGATATGAAAGATTTGAGGGGTGTAAATGTAAAAAAAAAAAATAAAGTTAGAAAAATCTTATTGTGTGCTTTAAAATTCATGATAGTATAGTGGTTGATTGATGTCTTTGTGATGTATGAAGATCTGCCACATAGAGAAGTAAGTTGAAATTGATAGAGTAGGCGACAAAATGTTTTACGCGGAAAACTCAAATAGGGAAAAACCATGGGACTTAGCCCAGTTGAAAGAATTTTACAATGTTGATATAGGTTACAAAGCTTACCGTCCATTAAGTGGTTGGAAGTATTGTTAAAGAAGTGGTATGAGACTTTCACTAGGGAAGTAGCAGAAAATAGTAGGAAGTGGGGGCGACTCGGATGTTGTGAAAGAAAGTTGATTGCTATGTCTTCGGAAGCGAGGGACAGACGGTGACGGTCGAGAAGCGACATTGATGATTTGGCAATGGTGGAGCATCTCGATGGCGGTCCAGCTAGGTGGAGCTAGATGGCGGCGGTTTGGTGATAGTAGAGCTTGGGAATCTTCAAGCGCTTGGACCTTTGGCCTTCTCCTCCAAGTCCAGGTCTAGGTCCCCTTTCATGAGAGGAGTGAGGTTCTATTTATATATTTTAGAAGTTGCATCCTCCGTGAATATTACATGAATATGGACCACTCTGTCAGGTGGCGTAGAGTGATAGTCTTGATCAGATGATGTTTTTATGTATATTTAAGTGTCTGAATGATGTTAGAATTAAGTGATCGTAAACTAGTTAGATTTGTCTCATCGATGCACATGATTTGACAATAAACTTGTCAAATTTGAATCCATTTGAATATTAAATCAGCCATTTGAAGCTTCCAATTGCATTTAACTGACTTGATTGGACACAAGGTGCGCCAAGTTCAGAGTCATTGGGTTCATCTTACCGAGACGCTCAATTCCATCATAAGTTTGATTGAATTAGAGCTAGGATGATCACAAATTCATGTTTGGAATTATTCCTTGCTTAAAATATTCTGAGCTTTTTGCATGATCAAAATAGTTTTAGAAGGTGTAACAGTTATCCCATTATTTTCATATTTTGTTGCCAAAGACATTAAAATATATCCTCAGCTTTTTGATAATTATGTGATGCAAAATCTTAGTATTCAAAGGAAAGCCAAAAAAGCTCCATATTCTCGAGGGTTCTTGTGATCCACTACTATAAAACCACTGTCGACCAGCCATCTGCTCACCACCGTCTTGCTGTCGTCATGGAGCGGTCGCCATTGTCCGACGAACATCGTCAGTTCCCAACCATCTTTGATTAGCCACTGGCACAATCGGACTATAGCTGCCCAGTGGTCACCGTCGAGTTGCTGCCATCACCAGACCTCTGCTGCTTGGTAGTCATTGTCGAGTCGCTGTCATTGACGAACCACCATTGTATGGTTGCCTCCATTGAGCCACTGTCGCCGCTTCTTGACTCACACCACTATCAAAACACCGCTGCAGTCGAGCTGATGCGACCGCTAGACAATCATCGCATGTTCCTGGCCATTCTCATCTTCCCCCGCTACCAAAGACACTGGTAGTAAATTTTCTGGCACCCGACCCCTATCGTCAGCTTTCCTTCATAGTAGCAAAATCGCTGCCACTTTCTTATCGTTTTCTACTACTTTCCTAGCTAAAGTCTTATACCATCTATGTAATAATGCTTTTCGGCCATTATATGGCCGGTACGGTCGTATAAGCTAAAGTCTTATACCATCTATGTAATAATGCTTTCGGCCATTATATGGCCGGTACGGTCGTATAAGTAGAATTCTTTCAACTGGGCCACACTCAATTATTTTTGTCTTTTTGGACTTTCGGCAGAAAACTTTTGTTGTCTATTATATCAATTCATCTTACATGCATGTTGGATCTCCGTATATTACTAAGATATTAATCCATCGGTAACGCCATGAATATGAGAACAGAATAGTTTATGGTCTCGTTGTCATCAAGCTCTACCACCACCAGACCGACCGCTATCATCGAGCTTCAGCACTTTCGAACTGTTGGCATTGAGCTTTACCACAGTAATATTGCCGCCATTAAGCTCCACCACCGTCGAACCGTTGACGACACCACTGCCCAGGCGTCACGGTCTTCGGACCATCACTGTCTAATTAGCGCCACCATAACTATCAACTCTGTCTTCGTCGTCGTCTGTGTCGCTGCTACCATCACCACTGTCAGACCACCATTGTCTAGTCATCTTCATCGCCACGACTGCCTCTGTCAGCACCACCACCGTCGTCTAGTCGTCTCCATAGTCGGATAACCAGCGTCGATGTCAACGAATTGATGCCATTAGATGCAAAGTCACGTCGTTTGTGTAACATTACTTCTGACTAGTTAAAGGCCAACAAAGTTTAGTAGCCTATATTGACGTAGTGAAATCATTTCAACCAAGTTAGGCCCCGTAATCCTTTTTTCCTTTTGAGTTTTCCACATAAAAACTCTAGTCGTTGTCGTCGTTAGGATTACCACTATTGCTGTCGTTGGACCGACACCATTATAATGTCATCACTCCCCTAACAGAAGTCACTTCGCTTGTGCAATTTTGCTCCCAGCCAGATAGATGCAATCAAATTCTTTTAACCTGCATTGACGTGGTGAAATCATTTCAACTAGGTCATACCCCTTAATTTTTTTTCCCTTTTGGGTTTTCCACGTAAAAACTCATGTCGACTTCTTTGTCATTTTTTTTTTCAAGATTTGTATGTGTTAGATCTTCGTACAACACTAAGACGTTAATATATCACTATATTGCCGTAAATTTACCAGCACACAACAATCATTTTGAAAAAAAAAAAAACTTAAAAATGGTTAATGAATTTCAAATTCAAACTAAAATTTAAATTCTAAACTTGATAAGTATGGAATTATTATTATTTCATGTATAATGATAAAATTTCTTCCATAAGCATGTTAATTGTCCTAAAAATCCCCCCATCTTATTCTCTCTATAAATCCAACTCCATAAAATAATAATGAAAAAATATTATTTTATTCTCTTGGATTGTTTTAGCCGGCCACCAAAATGATATATATATATATATATATATATATATATATATGTCTAATGCGGCAGGCCACTTGTAAGCGATAGAGATAAATAAATAAATAAATTTGACACCTTTTGTCGCCTTTTATTTTCTTATTTTAAATTTTAAATAATAAAACTTGACGTGTTAATTCGCCTTTTTTTAATAATATGGTATTATTATTATTATTATTATACTAATTTTTAGAAAATAACAAAAACACAATTCTATTAAACATTTAATTGCTTGGGCAAATGGAAAAGAAAATAAAGACTGAAACCACAATTTCTCTCAAATACTAACATTAAAATCATTTTTTAAGGCAATATCTCTACATTACTACCAACAACTCTAACTTCCTTCTTACACTCAAAGTAAAAAACACTATAAACCATATAAGAAAACAGCTTCATGAGCACCAAAATATTCGCTAGCAAAAATCCAGTAGCATTTTTCGCCCCAACAAAGCCATATCCTCCTGTAAAAACTCCATCGGCCAACAACAACATCAAGGCAATGAGAAAACCCTCGAGCCTTCTCCCCTTGACAATCTCCCCTCCTCTCCACATCGCCTCCAAACCAAAACAACCCTCTTCCGCCACTGAAACCACTACTCCCACTGTCCAAACCATTGTCAGATACACTGACAACAGTCTGCCCGACATTGCGAACAGTCCGCCAATCAAAATAGAAATTGTCGAACCATTTGCACTGAGCATTGGGACGGTGATCAAACACACTGAAAGAACTGCGTAGCCTGTGTACAGCACAGAGAAGTAGATGCAAGTGATAAACACATAAATCCATGTAGACTTTAATCTCATGAACACGTCGTTAAGAGTCGATTGTTTTCCAGAATAAACTAGCAAAGATGAATGAACGATCATCATCATGGAGATGGTTGTAATGATGTAAGAGAGTATGGTGAATAATATGTGGACTCGAACAAAGCCTTCTGCATCGCTCCTTAGCCCGATGATCGCATCGAAAAACTGCGGTGTGGTGGGATCCTCTTTCGTGATGAGATAGAGTTTCATGAGGAAGTTGAGGAGCAGGGGGTAGATAGAGATGTAATTGATCATCAAGAGAAGGAAGTTTGGAAGGAGGCAAAGAAGCACGGAAGAGAGCATGAGCTTTTTGCTCCGGGAGGGGATGGAAATGGCTTCTCTCAGGATTGAGATGATGTTGAAGAGCTTGCTTGAATCCATGGCCATGGAGAAACTCTGATCTATGTGGAATTAGATCATATGGAGGCGAGAGATAAAGAAGGAGACCAAAAGAAAATGTGAGGAGACTTATTCCAATTGATTTTTGTTTTATTCTTAGATGACTTGCTTGTTTTTGTTGGGGGAGATGGCCTCTTGGCAGGCTTAGCAATAATCTCTATATTTAATTGAAGGGGAAATGGTTCAAGAAAGAACAAACTCAATGAAAAAGAGACAAATACTTGCATATTAAAAGTTGAATTTATAAAGATGGGGACATTTACATACATGCCGCCCCACGACTATGCATTTACATATCCAACTTATAAAGTTCGTTTGTTTACGTTTATACTGCCCAAATATTTTATGTCACATAAAAAATATCACTATGTTAACTTCTTAAAAGTGAAATATATAGCTTTATGTAACAAATTTAAGCATAGGTGTAGGATATGTAAATACATAAAAATTGACTGGTATATATGTAAATCTTTCATCTCTAAGGATTAAGTAATATAAACTATTGATTTGCTTTTCACATCCCAATCAAATAAAAAATTAGAGAAAGATGGATTGACGCACTTAAAAGATTTTGAATAGTAAAAGAGATTTTACAAAATCAGGGTGAGAGGTCGTCCATCCCTCCCCTATCATGAGGGTTGTGTTCCCTCTAAGCCCTCCAGCAATTTCTCTCATCATTTTTCACTACTAAGGGATGCTTCGATAACGCGTCCGTCTTCCCTTCTAACGCGCTCAACGCCACCGCCAGACAATGTTTGACAATCAAGCGATTCCATAATGTCTCCCTGACACCGAAATAATCCAACGCTAAAATTTTGTCGTTCTTAACTGCTCCTGCTTCGTCCTGTTCCACAACTGGGGCTGTAAACGAGCTGAGCTTGAGCGAGCTCAGACTTGGCTCGTGTTCGGCCCGTTTGAAATAGCTCGTGTTCGAAATCGGCTCGTGAACAGTGTGTTCGTGTTCGACTCGAAATTGGCACGTTAAACTAAAATTGAGAAAATAGATGTAAAGTGTGAGATTCGAACTTGGATCAAATTTATACAAAAGAAGACACTAACCACATTGCCACATGAGGTGTTATGATTTAAACTCGGCTCGTTAGGCTTAACGAACGAGCCGAACACGAGCTGTTTAACGAGCCGAACAATGAGCCAAATTGACAACCCTATTCACAAAAAAACTTTTAAAGGGGCTTCGCCGTTAACCGTTCGCCGTTCGACAGTTACAAATGGAGCCTCAATGTGATAGTGTTGATGCGTTGAGATAGGAATTTAAATAATATTATAAGGCTACCATTACAGATCTAACATGGCAGTTATTTATTTTAGCCCAACTTTTGAAATTTGAGTAATAAATGAGGATGGAAAGGTGTAATATGACATAAAAATTGTTACAAAGCAAAATTGTTAAAAACGTTGCCCTATATGATTATA